TAATAATTATGCTGTATGTTAATTATTATTTCAGCATAATTTCATTCATAGGCTTCTTTTAATACCTTTCCTTTACTTTCACTACTCAAAAATTCTGTGTCTGTCTGTCAGCACAAATCTCAGATATGTTTTCACTACACACTGTAACATGTGATTTAAAGCATTTCAGGGCTGTCTGCAGATAGACATAAATTCAGTGGCTTTCAACAGGTCATTTCATTAGAGTATCTCATTCTTTTGACACGTTCCTAATATCCTCAATAAATCAGAGAGTATGCATCTTTCAATAACTGAAGTATTCTATTTATACTGGTTTATATTGAAAAGGATGAACAGTACTGTAACACAACTTCTCCTGTGAGAAAGGCATCACTACTAAAGTCATGAAAATGCTTCTCAAAGCCTAACCTAGGGGCCTGCTAGTTTAGTGGCACTCCTCTTGTTGAGTGGTGCTGGAATCAGAACTATTCCAAGTGCATGATGGGCTGGAACAGGGGAATACATGCTGTGCGAGGCAGGTGCCACCCACAAAAGAACAGGAATATTCGAAAAAATAAATAAAAAACAACAGCAAAACACCCTTATGTAATGGTCAGTAGAAATTTTTAACAAAGATGGTAAGAACAGCTGATTTGTTGAGGAGGCTTACTCACATGAATAAAAGGCTTTCTCAGGGCATTGATGGCAGGTTTTGTTCTCTCTGCCTTCAGATCATTTTGACCAATCTTATGTTTAGGCAGAAGAAAACCTGCCATTATATGCCTTGAGAAAGCCTTTTATTCATGTGAGTAAGCCTCTTCAACAAATCAGCTATTTTTGGTAATAGATACTTGATAAAACACTGGGGGGAAGCGGTCTGCTCTAAAGGTAAGACCAAAAATAATGAGTCAACAACTGACCTCAGCAATCCAAGCTTGGGATTTTAATAAAGAGGAACATAAGAAGCACAGCAAAATCCACAGAATGTCAAGTTTGTTCATTTGTAGCAACACCCAGGAAATCACGTAAACATTGAAAAAAACTGAAAATTTCATTTTTAGTGCCTTCTGAAAATGTGAGGCTAATTTTACACCTGCAATAAAAGCGATGACACAATTTTTATTTAAACCAACTTTCCTGTCACACTGAAACTGAAATTAAAAACTACAAAACAAATGTTAGAATATTTGTGCCTGTCATACTATCCCACTCTTCACACAGTACAGGAATTTGACTGGCTAATAGCAAAACTTACATGCCTTATATCTACATACAAGATGAAAGGCTTCTGATTCTGAAAATCCCAGCAGCTGATTCAGCACACAGCTCCTTTATCACAGTCTACAAATTGTGTTTTCTGGCTTCTGACATTAAAGCTATTAAAAAGATGGAAGCAATGAAGAGTCCTCTTCTAATTCTGAAGTTGTCTCCAAAAAGCTTCATGATTTTGCTTGGAACAAACCACTCCATTTCATAGAAAAGGCTCTCACGGAAAGCCCCTCGGGCCTTATTTATCATCTCCCTTTGCTCCAATTTCTTTGCTTTTCCATAGACATTAAAAAAGGTAATTATTCCCATAAACTTTTTTTTTGCCAGTGTATAATACTCTCCAGCTCTAAAAGATTTAAATACTCAGTTGTACAATTCTTCCAAAAAATGATCTGAACTACACTTCTTTCTCTTTTTAAGTGAGGTCACTGCATAAGATGTGCTTAATTGTCAGATTTCATGTACAGCTTCTCTCCATGTGCTCTACAATGCTCTACTCATACAGATTTTCTCTCATATGTTTTGTCTAAATGATGTCTGCTTTTTCTGTTGGTGACTCATTTTATACCCTGTCTACCATAAGGTGACCCCAGGTTTTGCTAGCACATCCTTGGAAATGCTGTGACAGTGAACAGAGAATGTTTGTAAAGGAGTTTTATCCTTTGTTCACACAATACACTGTACTACTCTACATATCTGAACAGTGTATGCTCCAAGTTGCAACTTACCACGGAAAGCATCTCCTTGCTCCTACAAGCAAGGCGTCTTAGTTTTTGAATTTCCTATTGGAAATGTTACCATACCTTGATCTTTCGAAGAACACTTTTTCACATGGCTTCCCATTATTCTAAATTGCAACACTCTGGGAATGTTTACAAAAAGAGGGTAAAAATACTTTCTAACTAAAAGATCTATGTACTTCTTTCTTTGATTCTGCCTTCCCATGCAAAATACTTGGTGCATGCTCAGCACACTCTGAAACACTGTTCAACTGTCATCTAAAGAGAAATGAATACTTGCTAGAAGAGATTTAAAACAGTTACAGAGGAAACACTACCTTACAACAGACACTGAAATAAGAACACTAAACATGGAATAGCAAAACTAACTGTGCTACGCTATAAGATAATTAGAGTTACTGCTGGGGTCTTACCCAGAAGGAAGTAAATTACTGTAAGCCCCACAGAAACAAAACTTGCACTATAGTATGATTATATGCAGTGGCTCACCTACCCAGAAAAACAAGCAGAGAAAATGTAAATTTAAAAGTCTAAACATCTCTGATCCATTCATACACATGGAAATTTCTGGTTATAATTACTATGCAAGGAGACAAGATGTATATTCCTAAAGCAACATATCTACACTGTAAAGAAAATGGAATGCCCTAGAACTTAACAGTGGGTTAAAAATAATGTGCTTGTTGGGCTGGAAAGTCAAACTGTGTGTCTTCATAACAGCTACAGTATTTGCTTTTCTACACAGCTTTATGAAAGGAGATAGTTTGAAAAGAAAAATGCTTCTGAAAGTTCAGAACACCACTGTTCTCATTTTCCATTAATGTGCTAGTTTCACTGGAAATAAACATGTTCCCCCTTTGCAGGATCTTCCTGTTAGTAACAGTTGCACATAAATAAAGTTTTCTAAACAAACATCTTATCTTTTTATGGAAGGAAGTCCATTAATAAGGAATTGACGTCCTTCCCTGAAAAAAAAAAAGGGATCAGTACTAATTCTTTCCCATAAACTAAAGAAATAAACTTACACCCTGAGATTTTTTACTCTATTTTCACAGCAAACTGGATAGCCTGCACGTAGATAAAAAAGAACTGTTTGGGCTTTCATACAAAAGATATTTCTGTTGCTACCTTGCCACATAATACATAATTAATCTCTTCCCTCAGTTTTTGATTGCTTCATGGAACTTGTGCTCCATTTCAACTGTACTCCACACGTTCATGTTTGAACTACTACAGTGAAGCCTGTACTTTCAGTGTAGGAGCTTCAGGAGAACAAATCCAGTTCACTATTTTGACATGGGCAACTGTTTTCATAAAGACGTTCTTTACACCACAAAAATGCAGGCAAAGTAACTCTAGCAACTGTGTTGTACTTTTCACCATACTATTCATTGGCTTCGTTGGCTCGACAAGACACTTGTATTGCCCAAAATTCTCAGTGGAATATCTTCTGATGCAAACTTCACCTTTGTTCCTTCAAAACAGCTTTTCCTTTAGACTCTAAAAATTTGAAATTGACACTGCTGCATGCTATTTTTGACAAATACTTTTTTTTCCAAATAGCTTCAGAAATCCAGCACTTTTATGTTTCTGTAACAAAGCTGAAAATACAAATGTTAGTACTAAAAAGAGAGTAGCTTCTCACAGGTTTTGTGCAAACAAATGTAAAATGTCGGTGCCACACTACATGCAAATTAGCCTGAGAGAATGGCAGAATAATGTGGTTACTTTAAAATTTTTAAACGTTTGAAGTGCCGTACCATTTTCATACAAAAACTCCTATTTATCTTGAACACAGTGAACACTTAAATCCAGGGGACACAAGAAACCTCATCACAGTATCTACAATAGGAATTTCAAAAGGAAAACAAAGAAAAAGGAATCTTAAAAAAAAAAAAGTGCACCAAAAGTTGCAAGATAATATAATTGTTTCTCTTGAGCCATGTCTGCAAAAGGAGTGTTACATGTTTTGAAAGATGAAACATTTTCATGTCGCAGCAATCACGCTTTTGCCTAACATAAGCGTTGGAAAATAAGATCCCATGATCCTTTACCAAGTTAACTTTACTCACACAATGATTCACTGGAGAAAGCACTCAAGGTGTGTCCAACACAAGTAAATAGAAGAGTGGCAAGAAATTAGACTGAGCATTAGACTCACAACTGCACTGAATTTAAAGATTCCTTCCTGACTCCATTTTAGACTAACAGTTCACCTTCCAAAGATGAAACTGCTATAGATAAGACAAGCCTGAAGTAGACAAAGCCAGACCCATTACATGACCTTGAAGGTATCGGCTCCTTGCATTCCTATTTAGTGTCCATATCTAGACTTTTACAGTTCACATTTAGAATGCTGTTTCTAATGCTGGATGCAAAAATCTTGATGTGCTTGTGCATATTCAGTAAGGCCTTTCCACTAAACTCTAATTTTTTCAAAGGGTTAGGTCCTCAGATAGGTTTTTTCCTCAATTTCTATTTAATTCAGGCTGACTAAGTCATGGAACAGTGATCCTTTTTAAAACAGCATTGTTTTAACAGACCACACGGCACAACTACGAAAACAGGGTAGCTCTTCTGGTATCCAGCATAAGAAACAAGGACATAGGCATCATCTTGACAAGTATTTGAGGAAAAAGCGTGTTGAGGATTTTCATTAGAACACTCATCTAATTTCCCAGACTATCCTGGCCATAACGGTATCTAGCCACCCTATATAATTACCAGCTTTTCCATCCTTATTTTTTCTTCTCTCTTCTTCTTTCAACATAAACTTTTCCCATTTAGAAAAATTCTTAATGGAAGAAAGCTTGGGGCAGTCTCAAGAAAGCCCAGTAAATATGTACAAAACTCCAAGACTTCTAATGATTTTATTTTGTAAGATCAATAGTTTCAGTGTGCAGTACTTAGTGGTTTATCAAAATGTCTGTGAATGACTTTAGATGTGATGAATGAACTCACGGTAGCCAGCATACTCAGCAAAGAATTCCATTTCTGTGGTGCCACTGTTACCTGTACTGTTGTCTTCTCCTGTCCACTCATCTCCATATTCTGCAATGGAGGTGTCAAAACTGGTGGAGGAGGTGCTCTGCGCTTTTTCACTTCTGGGTTTGCTGTCATTCCTGAGATATTACCAAGGGACAGCGATGGACCCAAGGTACTGGAACGGGAATTCACCGAAGGGGAGTTTGGTGCTGTGGAAAAACCCTGTAAATGGATTAACATTCTGGATTAACATCACTTTTTAAAAACAGTGGGAGAGAAAGAAGAAAAACAAGACACATCTGGTTACCGTTTAAAACAACGATATAATAGTCATTATGTTCATCTGCCAAACTTGCTGAACTGCAAACTGTAACTTTTGGACACTTCTAAAGGTCAACTGGAACAAAGCCTACAAGCAGTATGAATGTCAGAAGGCACTACAAGCATCTACTGCAATATTATGTTACAGTTGATGGGAATACTGCCACTGTTTGCTATTTAACCATATCTATACAGTGCATTTTATCTAAACACATTTTCAGTTGTATTTGAATTACAAGTAACACACATATCTGAAAGCAACCTTTACTCTTAATTGAGAACACTGTATTAATTGTATGCTGCCTGTATGCCAGGCTTTTATTACTAGTTCTCCACAGATTTACATAAAAGAAACTCTGCTACCATAGAACTATTTTCAATTTATATGCATAATCAAGTGTAAACATTTACAATCTACTAAGACCAATTGATGAATACGCTCAAAAGAAGTTCCACTGACGGGACCATACTGCATTTAAACAGGCTCAGAAGAAAAGCAGAAACTATTTCAGTAATTTCTTTATGTTAAAAATTACTTCAGTTCTCATTCAAAACTTATTAAAATCAAGGGAATAATTGTCACTGATTTCTGAACAAGACCTTTATACATTTTTATATCAACATTCATTCAGAAGTACGTGCAGTCATACAGTAGTATGTCTACTAATAGGAGAAGACCAGAAATTGAGATTGAAAGAAAACGTTGATTTTTCTTTTAGTTTTACACTTTAACCCAACTTTAAAATCATATTTCTGAACTTGCTATTTAAGATCTTTCAAATGTTTCTCTCAAAACCCGCTAGTCATTTTTTGCTGTACTTACTAGGAGAAGCTTCCATACTAAATAGAAGATTACTTTTCAGTTTAGTTATGAGATAGTTACTTCTGAAAAATGGTTTCTGAGAACCATTACTGGTATCAACCCACTCTGAGCTGGAGTAGGATGCCTACTCTGGAAAGGAAGGTTGATGACCGTGGTTGATAATGCTGTTCTCATCACAACAGTACACAGTACTGCATGTGCAAAAATCACCATGCAGTATATAAAGCTTTCAGATGGAATTTTGACCAAGACAACAGAACAATACTGGCATGAAACTACAACTCACCAGAAATCTCATCATTATCCAAATAAAAGAGGGAGTTCTTTGAACTTAGGTTCTAGTCCAGGAAGGGCTGGAAAGAGTTCTGCCTAGATCGCTTTATTATTGTGGTGAATATCTGTGATTTCTGGAGGACTGTAACTGGCAAGGAATTTGTTCATGACATGGCATGATAATTTCTTCCCATATGTATCAACATTGATCTTAGCTAAAAGTTAGAAATGCGGGGCAACAACCTCAAAAATATAATTCATTTAATTGTAGTACTTCTGAGGAAGTACTTATGAAGCATTAAAAGCTGAAAAAAAATTAAGCAATGAAAAAACAGACAAAACACAGGTTCCTGACTGCCTAGCAAGATTCAGTGTCTTGCAGATTCCTATGAAAGCAATTGAAAGTGGTAATGCAGATAGCAAACCATTTGCCTCCTATCCTGCATTTGCTATGGATGTGACTTAAAGCTGATATCCGGACTTTTTTTGTTATCTTTTATTTTGCATGCTGCACAGACTTCATGCCAGAATTGTGTATTTTCCAGAAACAATGCATGGTATCAGACTGCTCTGATCAACTATGGTTTTATTAAAGAATTAAAACAGTATTTACCATGTCTTTTTCATCACTATTCTCTGTACTTACTATCATCTTCTGTTCCTAAACAAAAGAAAACAAAAAAGCTCGAAGTGGAAGGTGGGGTTTGAAGGACTGGATGAGATCTCATAAGGAAATACGCTTTTTTCTGAGATACCGCCTGTATCTTAGGCAGTGGGAAAAATTTCATCTAAACCTACAAAGTTTTAAGTTCATTTCAGTGCATACTGCATCTCATTCTACAAAATAAACTTTTATTTTCTCCTAAAGAAATGACTGGGCTCACAGGGTGAGTCTCCATTTCCCACATACTTACAAAGACATTTTAAAGTCTACAGGCTATGATTTTGTGATGGTTTTAATTCTTTGGTCCTATTCACTGCATCACAAAGATGAGAAATTTTGTTCAAATATTTACAGATACAAAAACAAGACACAGCTTCTCTCCCAGCATTAAATATGTAGGTTACTGACAAGAACATAGAATGTACCACAGGTGGAGGGAAAACCAAGCTCATGTATTGCAGTCAATATAGTTGTATGAAGAAGTACGCCCGTATCATCTGTTTCACTCGACAGCAACAGGTTGTGGAAAACGTTCTGCTCAGAATCAAATTCAGTTTCTACAATCTGAGTGTTTTGTAACTACACTGTAGAATTAAAAAAGAAAACAGGAAAAAAAAAAAAAAGGTCGCTGGATTGGATTATATAAAGAGTTTTTCAAAATGTCTCAACTTGTAAAACCTAGTAATTACACTAGCATCACAGCACTTTGCTAGCAGTTCCAACGATTAAGTAATGCAAACCAATAAGAAAAAAGTTTCCTCTCCTTTTTTTTTTCCTTCGGAATTAAGCCGAAGAAAACCCTTTATAAACACAGTTGCACCTGCACAGATCCCCAGTAAATCTAGACTCTAGCTGAGGAAGAGTCTTGAACAGCTCCTGTACAACAACAGACTAAAGTTCATTTCAGTTCCATAAGACAGATGTTGGAAGGAAGGAAGAAACGGTTGTAGAACTACAGAGTACCATCAGATTTCATATATACACTGTTTAGTGTTAGATTTGCCATCTAGTTTCTTTCCTGCTCCTTAAACTCCTGAAATATAAGGGACCTTCTTTTTCCTTAACGTACCCGACTCTTTGAGGATAAACAGTTTATTTTCAAAGTGTTATCCCACTTCTTGAATTTAGCTTTCAAAGACCTTTTGGACAGCCAGAGGAGGACTGTTTAAAAACACAGGCACATAAAGGCTCAGAATAAATTGGTGGTTCAGGCATACCAGTCCCATTTTCAGAAGAAGTCAACAAGATTGAGAAATACCACAGCCCATGGAACTCAGCTCAGGTACTATAAGATGCCTTTTCCAAATGATTTCCTTTTTAAGTATGAACTTAAGTTCTGATGCCTTACAGGTATTTAGGAAAATTTTAGTGATCATATTAATAAAATTACATGAGATTAATCAATTAAGATCTACTAAAATATAAATAGTGATGTTGTGAGAATCCAATTTTACAAAAAAAGATATCTATAAAAATGGAAGTCAGTTTCTGTATGCTTTCAAAAGATATCCTTGATACATAGCTCCCTGACCCAAAGCTCTGTTACTAGCATTTCCTTGATTTTCTGATGACACTAAGTGGCATTTAAAGGTCAGCAAGGAAGAGGCTGCAGCTTGCCTGTGAGAGTGATCTGACTTCCCGTTCCCTGTCCACACCGGACAATAAAAATTTTTCAAAATGTCAAGTTCCTTTCTTGTGAGGCCTTTCTTCCACAGCTCTTTGCCAAAACTCACATATTTGAGATCTCAGTCTTGTTACGCAACTTCCTTCTGAGGAGTTTTTAAATCAAAGGTAATCAATTGGGTTGTTTTTTTAGCACTCAACGTACCAGATGCATCAACAAGATGTAGTTGTTTGGGTTTTTCTCCAAAAACAAAAGAGACAAAATAGAATGTAAAGGAAGTCTTTTTGTTTGAAAGCGTAATGTGGGTAAACGTGAAAAATAAGATCTAGAGCAGGCACACAAGTCCAGTTACACAGCGACAACAAGAGTAGTTTTCCCTATTGGAAATTTAAACTTCATTAATGTAAACGCTTATTGATTTGCTAAATGACACAGCAACTGGCTACAACTGGCCATTTAGAATACCAAAATGTTGGGTCAGATCTACTGCACACATTAAAAGTCCGAGGCCACTTGCCTTGAGATGATAGTCAAATTCTCCATGCTAGCATTAAATCTGACAACACGAAAACTGAATCCAAGCTCCTGCTTCAAAACCAGAGCAAAATACTGTGGTCATAAGATTGCTTGAACCATGTTGTATTTTTTTTTTTTTTTTTAAATAAACTGTGACTTCTCAAATCTTCCTTTTTAACTGGCCACATTGAAAACAATTTGTTTTTTGTACTCCGTGATGCACTTGAGATGATCACTATGGCACTTGCATACAGCCTGCAGCCAGAAAGGAAAAAATACATGCTTCCTTGCTCCAAAATTTTTTTAAAATGCATTTTTATGCAATTTACTCGTGTTGGTTTATTGTTTCATCCCATGTTTGCATTGGCAGGAAATAATTTGGTCACTCACAGTACTAAAATAGGAAGACAACTATTCAACATCCATGGCAGTAACTCATATGGGAAGAATCATGTTGATTTTATGTATCTAATGAAGCTTTCAAGGTCGTCTTATAAAATTTGAGTTATGTTTTGAAATCTGTACACCTCCAACCCCATTTTATCCTCATCTAAGTCTGTTTTAGTAGCGAGCTAGCAATTCCAGATCCTATGGTCAGGCATCAAGTGGTGGACATCAGAACTCAAACAGCTTGAATCCGAAATGTCAGAAGATGTTCTCTGTCCTGTGCCCTGTCAGTTCTCCCTCACGATGGCTGACCAGACTCCTGTCATTTTAGTAGTAAGTCTGTTTACCAGAAATCCTAGCAATACCAGGTGTAAGCAAGAGTGCTCCTGTATAAGTTCATCATCTCCCAGCAGCGAAGTAGCATTACGTATCTGCCCCTGCAGAGGTTACTAAAATCTTCCTGTGACAGAGGTATACACCATTTGCAATTACTCTGTTTTACTGCTATACCTATCCTTACCATAATGTATTTTTTTCCCTCATAATTTAATTAAAATTTTCCTTTCTAGAAATTGATTTGATTCTCTCCTGTCCTCACCATGGTAAAGTCACTC